CCCGTTGAAATCCCCCCCCCCCCCCCCCCCCCCCCCCATCTCTCCTGACTGAGAATCCGTACCTTAGTACAAGCTCTGCCTGAGCTTTGCAGCTGTGATCGAGTGATCACAATTGCAATGCTTTCCAGGCTTGAATGCAAATATTAAAGAAATACATATTTTTTTTATTATTAATTATGCATTCCTTCAATTTTTGCAAAAGGTAAACTTATACTTTAATAATGTTCATCATACAAGCTTCAAAAAGACTTTGCTGACACTAGAGTTTCCAGAGATCAAGGAGGAGAGCGCGCTTCAGCGTTCTATTGTTTGGAGGTTTTATGCCGGCTGTGTCTTTTATCATGCGAGTAGAACTTTTCTCTTTCAATAACATTTTTAAACGTTATCACACTGAGTATTTACTCTTTCCATGGGTTAATGCGTGGTGTTCTTTGACGCTGAAAACTCAACAGCGCAGAATAAGAGGATATTAAGTGAAGTGGGAGGAGAAGGAACATGGGGCTATTTGAATCAAACTTTCCATGCTTTATTTGACCCTTTAATATCCGATGGTCAAATCTATCTGGTGAGTGCATTGTAGAGTCTGTGCTGTGCTCACTGGGAAGTGGCGGAATTGCACTCATCACTGGAGAAAGTTGATACATGAAGGAAATGGATTTTGGACACCATTTGTTTATTTAACACTGTGGTTCACATTTTTTGGACGTTTAATTATATCTTTGAGATAGAGGATAACCATATTGGGATTTACTGATCACGTTTTTTTATTGATCACAATTGTTTATTTATATTGTCACACTTTTGTATATATTTATATATTCTGATCATTTTGAATTTTATATTTATTCAATTGTACAATATGATTCACATGGATCACTACCGTTGATTTTGTCACAATCTGATATAGTTGCATGTATTTTTATCATTTTGTATTTATAATCAAATTAAAAATCACATTGAGTCACTTTTTGAAGCTTGTTTGATGAACATTATTAATTATAGTTGATTATTTTTTTTAGCGCAGTGCACTTTGATAAAGATTACCTTGCTAGTGCCTTTTGGGCACGTTTTGCACAGCAGCTTGTTGATGTTACTCCTCCAAAGCACGGAATTACAGTTTTAAATGTATTTTATGAGATAGTAATAAGAGAAATGTCAAGAATTTGTTAAAACTGAAGTCTTTTTAAAAGGTGCCCATACACCTTGCGATTATCGTTCGATTTCCAAATGACATCAGGTTTTTGTACATTAATTGACCAGTTGATGGGAAGTGAACGATCACAATTACTGTACATATGGCTGAATTTTGTCTATCAATTTTTGAACACTGCACATGCGCAAGTGAACATCCGTTCTGTTGATGGATGCAATTTGGTCAGTTAGTATTGCTATCGAAGGATAATTGAAATCCACAGTGGTCTGTGCATGATGGCGCAGTCGTGCGGAAATCAAACAACTGATCGATGACGGGACGAATTAAAATCGTGCGATAATTGTATGGTGTATGGCCAGCTTTACACAGACACTAGATATGTCTATACTAGATTTAAATTCCACGGATGGAGTAGAGTCCTAACGGGGAGCATTGTGTGCAACCCCTTCTAGAAGTACAAAACAGCGACTAATTAGCGTGAGGATGTTGGGAAAGAACAAACAATGCAAACAACCTGATTTTAGATGTGGAGAGCTTCAGACATTTTCTGAAGTTCAAAAGCTCGAAGGTCTTGTCCTGAGCTATGAGAGGCCTTTTGAAAGGATGTAATCCATTGAGGTTGATTTACTAAAAGCAAATAGGCTGTTTACTTTGCAGGGGACACTTCCCTTAGCTTTGTCAATCTGGTGAAACTTCACTTTCTAAAGAATACCCAATCATGTGCAAGGAAAATAAAAAAAACTAAATTTTTCTTGAATCTCCCACTGGGCCAAGCTTCAGTATCTTGCTAGTCGGCCCTGCTGGCTTTCAAAATACCTGAACAATCTGATTGGATGCAGGCATGGTTCAGGTATTTTGAGAGCCAGCGGGGCCGACTAGCAAGATGCAATTAGCAGCTGTAAAGGCAGTCTGCTATGTCCCTCAGTTGAATGTTGGGCTGCCTTTCAGGTATTTCAGATAAGCAACCTTACAGCCAACTGAAGTAGCTCTCATGGCAATCTGATAACACTGCTACCAAGTGTGAGGCAGTGGCTTAGTACTGTCAGCCTGCAGCCTACTTCTCAATGTTTCTACCCAAGCATCCATATCAATTTGAGAGAGACTGGGTCACACCGTTTAGGCTGTGCCACAATTCTAAAAATGTGTAGTTCACCACAGGTTACTATACAGTACAGAAAGACAAAGTGACAAAAGGCCTAGATCCCAGTGTTGCATATCAAAATGTGTTCACTGCAAACAAGTTCCATGCAAATCTAGACTGTACAGACCGGTTCCACCATAAGCTGTACCATTGTTCTGTGCTGGAAGACGGTCTACAGCTAATTGACACAACACCCAAGAACCTGGAAAGGGCTATAATATAATGTCCAGTGCCCAAAAGGACACATCTAAGGTAAGCCTATGCCCATTTCGAAGCTCACTGTCTGGTCTATCTGTGTATTAATGCTGGATGCCAGGGGAACGTAGAGAGGGTCCCAGGCAGCACCCAGCAAGGTACCCCCCTCTGCTTCCCTACACTGTCCTGACCCTGCCTCCTCCCTGCCAGTGAAAACAAAGAGCAGCTTGCATGACTTACACACACACTGCACCGTGTTTTTGCTTACACCCCTGGAATGAATAACAATTCAGAGATGTAAATGCTCCAGTAATGACCCAGCAACAAGATCAAACATTTCAGTATTGCCTGGTCAATTCTGGCAAGCTCCCACCTCTAGTGCTGGCTGACAATGGTACTAGATCACTGGTGCTAGCTGGTGATCAGAACTGTGAATGTGGCCGCACTGGTAGCCAATGACACTGGTACTGTTCTAGCTAGCGATCAGATCATGGTTTCTGGCCGACACTGGTACTAAAACACAGGTGCTGGCTGAAGATTACGACACTGGGGCTGGCTGACACTGATAAAAAACCCACTAGTGCTGGCTGATGATCAGGACACTGAATGTGTCTGACACCTGGTAATGCAACATTGTTGCTGGCTGGGGATCAGGAGACTAAATGTGTCCAAGATTGGTACTAGAAAACTGGAGGAGACTGGCAATCAGGAGACTGGTGCTGGCTGACACTCATACTTGAACACTGGTACTGGCGCTGGCTGGCACTGGTATCAAAACACTGGGGCTGGCTGTTGACCAGGAGCTGGATGTATCAGACACAGGCACTAGAACAGTGGTGCTATCTAATGATCAATGATACTGGTTGACACTGATTCTAGAACACCGATACTGGTGCTGGCTGGCGGTAAGGACACTGGTGCTGGCTGGCACTGGTATGAAAACACTGGGGCTGGCTGTTGACCAGGACACTGGATGTGTCCGACACTGGCACTAGAATACTTGTGCTATCTAATGATCAGGATACTGGTGCTGGCTGACACTGATACTAGAACACTGGTACTGGTTTCTGTGAGGAGCTACCAATGCTGATCTGGGATTTAAATGTTTAGGATTTTGCCCCAATCCTGGCTTCAATACCTAAAGTCACTGGCCTGAAAGAAGCATGCTGCTCAAAATGTCATGCATAGTTGTCCTAGGTCCATTGAGTTACTAGCTGGTGAATGCAGGTGGTTGAAGATGACAGCCCTTCAGCTTGCAATTTAAAAATTGGTAAAGGCAACTCCATTATTTCTATCCTGACAGACTACCTAAAGGACCTTTATGAGCATCTTGAATGTTAACACTGGGATGGTGGTGATACTCACTTGGGTGGGGCTTTATTTTTCATTTTTTTCCCCTTCTTGCTTTCTTGTCAGACCTGATTTTTTCTATCTTCTTAATATATTATACTTCTTCAGTTTACTTTCATTCGTGTATTAATGGGAAAGACACTATTTGAGCATAAAATGTAAAAAGTTTAATTTTTTCAGGAACAAAAGTAACACACACACAACAAAGATGCTGTTCTCTTTAGATGAACATCTGGCGATGCTGTAAAATGTTTTGAAGTCTGTTTTCATCTGTAAGAAACAAAAAAAAAGTTGCATCCGTGACTGACACTTCAAACAAAACAGCTTTCTAGATCTTTTTGGGTGGACTAACATGCAGGATGTAATCATTACAATGATACCTGTATAAGGAGGTGCCTGCATGTCTGGAGTAACCTCTGACCTTCCTAAAGCTGGGCCTTTATTAATAAATTACCGATCAAGCTATTTTGGTCATGGGCCTCTGGCACGCTCACTTTTCTATTTCATTATTGGACCATCACTGCAACGGGCTAACTCACTAGCCAATGGGATGCAGGAGGCACACCAATCCAAACCCTTAGACCCTTGCAGCTTTTTTAGATTTGTATAACAGAGTGTCTTGAGTTTTGAGGGTCCCGTGACCCCCTTGCAGAAGGCAGGGGTGACATGTAGACACCGGTAGATACCTTCTGTTCTACATAAGTAACACTTTACATTCTATTTACTGCCCGCAGGTACACTTCAATCTGAATAAAACAAAGCTAAATAGAACAAGGATAAATGCTGTAAATTTACAAATGTTTACAAAGTGTGGGATATACTTTGGTAAAATGCATTGTATTTTTGACACAGCAGGTGGTAGATAAGTTGGCAGATGCTCTGAATGCCCTCAGGATGGTATTATAGTTTCTGAGAGGCAATGCAGACTCATAAATTACAAGGAGTAGATTGAAAAGCTTAAGATTGGAGTCACCTTTCTTCCAAGCTCCTTCTTCCATTCAGCCCCTCCAGCCACCCCCAAATCCCGATCCCGTAGACCTGTGCAAAAGTGAACAGAGTATTAACCAGGTACAGATGTGCATCCAATAAGGTAACAAGTAAAAAGTGAACTCTAACAATTATTACAACCAGAAAATATGAAACTGTTAAAAAGAAAATCCTCGACTGGTTCATTTAATGTTATGATATAAGTTCTTATTATTCCCAAACACCCAATAAATGTTCATAAGGTAGCTTTCATAACGATGCCTACTAGGTATATTACTGGACCCTCACCTTTACCAAACACACCCTCTTGTTACCAGGACAAAGTCTGTACACTACTGTACACACTATTGCATTGCTAATACGCGAGTATCAGCCAAAGCACCTAATGATTTAACGTGCCCAGCAATAATTATTGGAAAATCTGCCTTGCAAACAAACCTATGAATATTGGGGATCAAACGCTTGGCCAAGTCCCTTATGTACATATAATATGTATCGGAGTGTAAATACTTTGTTTGAGATCTATTTGTGCACTTCTCCTAGATACAATTTTCATGTAGAAGTAGAAGTCTGCTGTTTTCCTATCCCACTAATATTTTTCACACTCCTAGATTAGAGAGCAGCACAAATGCTTGGTAAATTGCTGGTTATATTTGCTCTTGTTGACATGGAAGAACTGTATTTTTCTTGTATAGAACTTTATTGTATGTTATAAAAAAAAAAAAAAACAATCTATGTAGCATACTTTGTTTTAAGATAGATGTTGCTTCTGGAATACCCTGTACTAGTTATTACATAATAAAGCAAGCCTTTAGCTATGTGTACAGGCTGAATTTATGCGAGTTAGAGAAGACCGGTACCTACACAAACCTTTTCTTTTCATAAAGAGTGCTTTGCACTCCAGGGCAACCCAAGGCCATACTCCTTATCCAACAATAGAGTTCAGCTACTGCTACCTCTCCTCTGAGTCTCCCCCCGTGATTCCTGTAGCCCTATTACAGACAGGCTGAATCTCAGGCTGGCTATAAACAGGCCCAAATAATGAAGCTCTTGTTTATGTTAAAGAAGTAGTTTCAGTTCTAGTTGAAGTCTGGGGATGTAGTTATCACACACACAAGGATTATTTAACAACTTGTGACCAAACGTAAGCCAGCACAGAGTCACACTGCAGCCAGGAAGGATCCGACAATATTGCCAGAATCCACCCAGCTGCCTGATTGACAGCTGGCTCTGCTTCTCTAGAGCCAGCTGTGCCCGCCTCTTCCTGTCTGTCCCTCCAGTGAGTTCTGTAACCGTTCTCTACACAGAGAAGCCCATGAGTTGAGCTATCAGCAGTCACATGATCGCTTGGCTCTCGATCTATAGAGCTGGCATGTGATAGCTGCAGTGTCACACGCCGCCTCTAATTTTTGGGAAGAGTATATTTATGTTCGGCCAGTTGGGGGGAGCCCAGGGAGAAAGAAGATGGCCAGCTACACGCAGTGGTTTTGACACTTGCGGACCGCAGTTCAGACAGAGGGATGGGGAAGACGCTGTAGGGGAGGCCAGTCAGGGAACTCCATTTGCATGCACTATTTTTTCTGTGAGCTGTCCGGGATGCAATTCAGTGTGTTCCAGCACTAAATCGGCCGGAACACACTGGAGCTGGTGTGAACTAGCCCTAAATGTTAAAATAAAATAAAAAAAACATACTTTTTATTTAATAGAAAAAAAGAAAATATCAAAATCATGGGTTTTATTTGGGGGGAGGGGGGGGGGTAGCTTTAGGGCGGGCCCTTAATGGTTTCTAGCACCGGGGCCCTGAGGTTTCTAGTTACGCCTCTGCCTTAGAGGATCATGCTTTATAAAACAGTAAAGAACAGGACAACTCAAAACATCCCCTTTTAAAGTCACTCAGAATTACCATCATGTGACACTGCCATGAATACTTACTGGTTTGACGCCCCAAATGAAAAGCCTACAAAATGAAAAAACAAAAAACAAGGGTTAATTTCAGTTTATGACGGTTTACTGGTTTAAATTGTTTCAGTAACATGTACTTCACCTCCACTGCTTCCTGATGGCGCACCACTACTAGGAGAACCAAATCCGGAAAATCCGCTACTCTGTCCACCAAATCCACTTCCTTGCTGGGACAGACTGCCAAAGGTTGGAGCGGTCTGGCTGGCCAGGTTGCCAAATGTGGCACTAGGCATGTTGTTCCCAAATCTGCCAGAGGGAGGAATGTTAAGGGGAAATGGAGAGGACTTTGTTAAAGACTTGATAACATCTTCCATCATTGTAGACAGAATGTTAGATGCATAAGAACTGTGTACACTTTGTCTCTTCCAATTGAGGCCAAAAAGAAAGGAAAAAAACTTAGCAGCTGGAGGGCGGGGTTTTAGCTTCAAGGGGGCTGGCCTTTAGTTTTTTTATGTGCCTTGTGTCAATTTCTCTCATAGGCTACATAATGTGAAATCATAGAATTTGCAGGAGTGTCATTGGCAACTAAAACCTTTTTCAAAAGGTCACAAGCATTATCACGTGCTCTGGCAAACTTCAGTAGGCATGGCATTTCAGGCAGGTTCTTTTCTGAAACAAGAACCTATTCTTTAGACATGTGTCAGTAGTGGAAATGTGAAATTGTTGGCTTCCGAATTTTTCTTTTAGGCCTCACGCACACTAGCTGGCTGCGTTTAACCACAAGATAAATTATCTGTAAAGTATAAACAACTTTCTGCTTCCCAGATCACTTGTTCCTGTGTTTAGTTGTTGCTGGGCTTAGTGGTGTTTACACGCGTCTACACACATTTAGCTGCGTAAAACTGGGCTAATCGGACCCGGAACACAGACATTTCTAGCTTGAGTAAACGCTACAAGACTGAATGCACCTAGACGCTGCTGGACGTCTAGGTATGCATAGTCATAGAAAAGCATTACATGAGTCCAGGTTAGAAATGCGCTCCAAATGCACCTGAACTCAACATAGCGTGCATGAGGCCTTACATATGTTGTATTTTGCCTTTACTTTTCTTGATTTTAAAAATATATTAACCTGACTGAAATTAGGCAGCTGCCCCATTAGTAAAGACAAACTAAAAAGCTCTATGGGGGGGGGGATTTATCAAAACTGGAGCAAACAAATTCTGGAGCAGATTTGCACTGCAACCAATCAGCTTCTCTGTCTCATTTTCAAATCTTACCTGGGCAAACTGAAGAGAGATGCTGATTGGTTGCTATAGGTAACTGCTTATGTATTCTTTGTAAACACTGAAACAAACACGCAATATATAACTGTGTAGTTGAAATCTTGGACAAAGAATGTCACCAAAACTACATTTCCCTGCATTATATTCTTAAAATTCCCAGGTGTGTTTATGTTAATTATTTAGACCACATGTGTCAAACTCATGGCCCAGGGGCCGAATCTGGCCCACCTGGCCATTTCCTAGACTTCTACTTTCAGATCTAGGTAATGGGTTATTACTAAAACCAGTGATAATCGAATGCAGAGGCAATTATGATAAAGATTAGATACATTTATGTAGTCTTACAGATACCTTTGAGGGCAACCATAATGTTGACGCGGCCCACAATTAAATAGAGTTTGACACTCCTGATTTAGACCCTGAAAGCCTATTGTATTAGCATCTGAGGCACACAATTTTATTTGCAGGCAACATCACATATTGTAACACCAACATTTTACGAATGAAAATATGTTCTCTTATAAATTTCTTTGAATTTGGGTATAGACTTAGGGCAGTGAAGTCTGTTACTAAATTCAATTTTCGCTGTACCTCTGGCATGAAAGAGGGGAAAGAAGAAGGCAAACGTTGGAGGACAAACAGTGCTGCACAATTCAACTCAATGAAAATGTAGCACCTCCTACTTCTAGCATTGTGGTATGTGGGAGTATACCATGGCTTAGCCAGTCAAACTGCACAAGCTTAGCATGCACAGTCTGCTTCACCTCAGACATCTGACTGCCTCCTGGTGCATCATGGGGAAAGCCACCTTTCTAGCTGGTCATCCAGCCACATACTCCTTTTCAAGCAGCCCAAGGCCAGAACAACCCATTCATTTCATTGAGAACAAGGTTCTCCTGAAGCAGTGGATATCTTCTGAGGGTGACACTATAATTTGTGCATCTTTCCCTGCCCAAGAAGAAAACTATAATAATAATACTAATAATACAAATACTAGGACCTTCTTTAAGGTGCAATATAAACCAAAATATGTAATAGTATATAAGTATACATGGCTTCTTACCCAAATCCTCCTGTGTTAGCTGCAGCTGTACCCTCTCCGAACACTTTGCCGCCAGTCGAGCCCAGCGGGCTTGAAAAAGTTTGGGCTGGACCAAATGCTGGCACCCCTCCGAATCCAGGGGATCCCCCAAATGTTGGAGGGCTGCCGAACACCGGAGCAGCGCCGAACCCACCTGAGCAAAACAGAGGCAAAAAAAAAAAAGAAGAAGAAAGAGGAAGAGAGAGGGAGACATAAGGGAACAAGCATCACATGCATGCCAATAGCAGATAAGGGACTTAGCTCTATGACAAAATAGGACAGAGGACATTGGAGCCGTTTATGGCGGTGGGCATATTTTATGTTAGGCCCCATTCACACCTAAATTTTAGGTGCGATTAAGGATTCCTGCATCAGGAACTTGCGATTTCCTGCAGCAGGAATCACTAATCTGCCGGGTACAAGTGGCAGCTGTCACACTTTCAGGTTAATGATCGGGTGAAAGCTGTTGCATTCGAACGCCGCCACACCACATGTAATCATATTTTAAACGATTACATACGGTTAGGACGGCTTGTAAACAGCAGATTAGGCATTCCTGCTGCAGGCAATTGCAAGTTCCTGACGCAGGAATCCCTAATCGCACCTAAAATATAGGTGTGGATGAGGTTTTATTATTTGAGATTCTTTGACACACTTGACTCATCTTGAGTTCATCAGTGTCTGAAATAAGAATTGTTCGTACCTATTCTGGAAAATTAAACTTTGATAAATGAGGCACAGTGTGCTTAAAAAAATTGTACCTGGAGCCTACCCAAAGAAAAGGCTGCTGTATGGGCTGACACTCACAATGGCAAACAGCAATGTGCAGTAACCTCTAGCAATCAGTTCATCTCTTTACTCATCCGACAGCAAGGTGAAATCTGACTGGCTGCCATGGATTTTTCACATCATAAAGTGGTAAGTGCACTTTAAAACAAATTGCATTTATCGGTTTGGCCCCTTTAAGATCACCTAATCTACACCACCCTCTCCCAGAACAGATGCATACTTACTGAATTGTTACATCCTGCAGCAGACCTCTTCTCCTGCTTACGCCTGCACAGTGATCCCCATTAACTTCTATGGGGCTCGTCTACCTCTGTTGCCTGACTGGGAGACGAGCCCCATAGAAGTCAATCGGGATTTATTGCGCAGGCAGGAGAGGGAGATGTTCGCCACAGGATGTCAAACAGTGGAGGCTTGGCCCTTGGCACTTCAAGAAAAAATGTTAGCGGCAAGTACAAAAATCTTATTTTTTTTTTTTTTGGTCTATTGAAGGACACAGGAATCCAGAAACAAACAAAAAGAACTCTGGAAGAAGTCCCCAGGAGAATACATCCACAAACGGGAACCTTGCACAAAAACTGGTCCACCAGAGAAGACCAGCCACTTTGCAAGAGAAAAGCCCAAGCTTTATACTCCCAACTCTTGGGATTCAGACAACAAAGGTTCCATGATGAGAATGGGATTGCCTGGCCAGGCAACCAATCTCTAAACCAGATATCCAAGGAAAGTGAGAATCATTACAGTGTAATATACCATATGAATAATCAAAGACCCCTAAGATTGGAAGAGAACTTAAGGGTTCAACCCATCAAGTTAGCCTGACTGAAGGATGGTAGAGTGTGAAAGAGTAACCCCTACAAGGGTAGGCAGGGATGAAGGTAGACTTGCATGTAAACACCAGAAAAATGTGAGAATGAGCAAGACCCATCCACCTTAACACCCAGAGGTATCTCCGACAGAGGAATACTGTAGGACCTGCCTTGCCTTCATTCAGAAAATGGGTCTAAAAAAATAACCTGACCCTCCCTGGTCCAGTGAAGCATTCACAGCAATGGAGCAGTGCCTTAGAAGAAAAAACAAAACAGCCAACTAGATGAAGGTGAAGGGTGGCTTCTTCCAACTCCTCCATCAACATCCTGCAGGATGCAAACTCTGATCATCTGTGGCATAACTAATCACATTGTCAAGAGTAGGTTTGAGGAGAGGATAAAGGCTAATCTGGTCAGGTACCCCTTGGAACCACAGCTAAGGCACTCTCTTCATTTGTATGGACATCAGGCCCATGTGAAACACAAGCTTGCATACTTGTAGAAAGCCATTACAACTACAGCACAAGGCGCCAGACATTTGCTACAGCCACTCTATGAAATGGGGAACTACCTCAGTGATTGAGGGATCCCTTTTAGGGGAATCTATCCATTTTGACATGGTAAGACAGATTAAAGTTATCTACTACATACACACCAGTCAATTTAAACTAGTATTCAAAGAAGGAAAGGCAACATAAAAAATAACCTTCCAAATGCTACCTCTAGCATGGCTTTGACACCCATTTATGTATAAATATAAAAAATTGGCATTTAAAACATTTTTTTTGTTTTTTGTTGTAAAAAAACATGTGAGCGCTACCCTTCACTATTGGTCCAGTGCTGGTAGTGGCAAGCGGAGCTTTCCCTCATCACTGGTGTCAGGAAAGACGGGAGGAGTTGAAATTACCTGTGGTGTTACTGCGAGTGATGTCGGAGCAAAACCAGCACATGTACTTGTCGAAACTACTAAGCGCTCACAGAAAGAAACTGAGACCTAAACTTATTACTTGAACATAATGTAACATGGGCACACTGGAAGCCATGTTGTTCTCTTATTCCACAGAATAAAGATGAATTTAACTTCATGCTTTCAAGACAAAAAAAGGCTTCATCAGCGATTCTCAGACCTTAACAGCATAGATTCCCAGGTTATACATTTTGGGGGTCTAGTTAGTCCAGACAATAACAAGATAAAGACTGAAAATGGTACCAGACTGGAAGATAAATGAAGATGCCATGTCTCAGCCTGGAAAAAGTACAAAGAACTATTCACCATTATAGTTTTTTCGTTTAAAGATATGAATAGAGTTCACATTGAAAGATATCCATTACATAGTATTCTTATTTGATAGGATTGGTAGATTGGTATAACTAATAATGTGATTTGTAATATTAATATTGCATGAGATTTACAAATATTTGCTTAACCCCTTCATGACTGAGGCCTTTTTTCATTTTTTGCACCCATGTTATATTCCACATTTTAGGCCTGAAAATGACGTAAAACCCCCCAACATTATATATTTTCTGAATGCCAAGACCCTATAGAATAAAATGGTGGTAGTTGAAAATTTTTATGTTGCGCAATATTAGCGCAACTCCTTATTAAACCCCAAAATTTAGTGACAAATTTAATTAAATGCCCCAAAACACAACAAATACTGTCCTCCCATGACCCTTAGGGGAACTATGGGGAAAAACAAACACTTACCCCACTAATCCAGCACGTTATTATTCTGAGTTGCCCCACTCAAGCGGCGGCCATATTGAGTGGGGCACGTGAGATTAATAACGTGCTGGATTAGTGTGATCCTAGTTCATTTTATTACTTTATTGCTGTGCTGTATGTGTATAGGCCAATGTAGTTGGATCTGTATGTGCGTTATAATTAATCTAAATTAATCGATTAAAAAAAATTTCGATTGATCGAACAGGAAAATTTTAATCATTACCAGCCCTAATATATATTAGTCGATTTTACTAATTGACAAATAATGGTGTATTGCATTATATACATTACAAATGTTTATATTGATCACATTATTATATTATAACTTATGTAATAAGCATGAAGGAGTTAAAGTAACTAAACTGTTTAGCACAAATTACTTCATCCTCATACGTAGAAAGATTTTTTTTTTTTCTCTTTCTTCCCTCCTCAAACTTTCTATACTCCATTGTCTTAAGGAGATATATGCTTTTCTTGAATGTTTTGGAACTAGACCAGTAACTAGTTATCTCTTAAATTGATATATCTCTGCTAATCCCAGGTTAAGAGGCCATCTAATGACCTGGTACAGAAGTTTTAAAAAATCCAAAATTAGTCCTAGACCAATACTGTCTCCTTTAGATAATTGTGGGTATAATTTGTGGAGTAAAGTGAGATGAGTAAGTAGTGATGTCATAGTTGAGATAAGATAGTATTTATGCCTCCCAAAATTTGGGGTGATAAAAGCTTAGAGAAATTAGGGAGAGAGGACAAACAAAGCAAAACAGAAGGAGAACGGAACAAGATTAAGGGGGGACGAGTCTAGAAGAGGACCTGAATGACAAATAGTTTCTGTCCCTAAGTTAACCAAGGCTGAACATCACTGAGACCAAAGAATTTCCAGATTAATGGTAAGCAATTTATGATATATATATTATATATAATATATACACACATTTCTTCTGCAGCATTTCGGGATCAGCTGTCACTGAATGTTTTCTGAACGTTCCAACAACGATCAGAAAACTGAAACATTCTTTCAAGAATAGAAACATTAGGTTTCTATTGCTGAAAGTAAAAAAAAAAAAAAAAAGCCGATTTCCCGATCTATACCAGCTGTCAGAGTGACAGCAAGAGCTACAAATGCAGCTCTGCTCACTCTCAGACACTCGATTCCTGAAGGGGATCGGGTGTCTGAAAAAGGTTAACTCTTTCATTAATAGATGCCACTATACAGAGTCATCCATTAATGAATGGTAACCGCTGATTCTCATCGGTTACCAGCATTGTAGAGCCGCAAATAACTGGTCACGTACAGTGTACGTGCCCAATCATTTGAGCACTTTGTGACGGGACGTACAGTGTACGCCCCCGTCACGAAGGGGTTAAAGAGGGACTCTGTCAATGAATACTGAAATGCGAGCAGACTTGCAAACTGTATAGTGTTTTTGCTGTTAAGGTGCATCACTGGAACCACTACAGTGGAGCAAACCACTGAATAACATTCTCTCTCTCAGAGAAACGATCTACCATACAGGATCCCTGAGGGTGTTTCCAGTCTGCATAGGACAATGACTCAAAAAGTGGGTGATGCGGCTTTTGGCAGTCAGAGTCAGAGCCTTTCAATGACTTATGGAACTTGTAGTTCCACAAGAGATGGAGGGACAAAGTTTGCATACCCCTGCTCTAGATGCAGAGTAAAACACACTTCATCAATAAGGTTTGAAACGACCCCCTGTAAATATGAGTAAACAGCAGGAAACTTCAGTTTCTTCTAGACACTGCAGGGGATGGCACCAGAGCATGCTTACAGCCTCCATGGGCAGAGTGCCCCAGAAGCTGAGCACAAACAGCTACAAAAAAGTTAAATGAGGACATGGAGAAGTCCTTGGCCACATCTGAACAAAGTGAGGAAGACTTAAATGATGATGACTCTGTAACAACTGTCCCGGATTTCAAGCTGCAGGCTTTGGTTCCTTCTGGAGATAGCAGACAAACCCAAAGGTCACCTTTGGCAGCAGAGATGTCGTCTGTGTTTTGGGGAAGACATGTTGTGTTTCCACAGCAGAAATGAAACTAGGCTCAATGTGAAACAAAGCCCCAAGTTCTCACAAACCCATGCTGATGGTGCCGATAAAGGTTTCAGGTGGCCAAAGGTGATCAAGCTACTGTAGACGGTCAATGAAACCAGACCTGAGGTCCACATGATGCTTCAGGTACAGGAGCACCAGAAGGATGGTGATTCCTTCAGGCTGAACAGTGAGAAAGAGAGCATGGAGCATGGAGCATACACAAGTGGCACCTAGTGAATGGCTTCATCTCTCGATCAGGCTTAACCCTTATCAAGGTAACAAGCTGCAGTGGTGGGAATTTTTAAAAGGTACGAAGCGGTGCAAATAGTAAGGCAACTCCCGGTGCTGCAGCCCAACCGGCCTTGCAAAGTTAGCCTTCAGAGACAGGGTCATACCTGTGGCTGTGCCATAGTTCTAGACCTGCAAAGTGCTCCACAGCATCCAACCTCTTAGGACACTAGCAAAAAACTGAGACAAGCTGGGTAGAGGAGGGGTTATATGGGGGCTGGTTTATAATTCTTCTGTTTTTCAGTGTCCCACCCGAAGGTGGCAGTGTAACCCATTGTTTTTAGAATTCCTGTGTCGCTCAATGGATGAGAAAAAGCATTTTGACCTCTATATTCCAGGCAAGAATCATGACCTTTCTGCTTTGAATTATTGAACATAAACCTACTGAGGAATTTGCAACAAACCCACACAAGAGAAAGGATATGGGCATATAAAAATGTATGAACCAGAATTACAGAGAAAGGGTGCCACAGAATGGGGGGGAAAAAAAGGAGAAATTAAATGTGTTTTCCCTTTGTTGGATGGTAACTCATCATGGAAATTTAAAGCAAAAGTCTATGACCCATTATACCCCATGCAGTTGAATTCTTGTGGTATAAAAGCTGCAATCAAGCACATAAGCCATGCCAGCAGGTTCAGAAATAAAATAATCGAACCTTTATGCAACATATGGACAGCCATGCTCACCAATAGCAAACTGTAAGCTGAGAAAGGCAGGGCCAAGCTAAATTTAAGGTAAAAGTGAGTTTTATGTGTTTGTGGCAGGTTTACTTTAAGTCTACTGGCACTGTAGACTTTAAAGATGCCAGTAAAGATGAAGCAAATATAGAAATATAAAAGCCATCACTGCTGACAAGTTTTTGAGGTGCATGTTCTGTGGTCGTCATCCTTACAATTGCTTCACTAACTGGTGATCATTTACCCAGAACAAGCATGTATACTAGCAAGTGCTCCAACATCTTATATGAACGTGCTTAGTTCCATATCAGAAAATCACTGAATAGTGAAGGAAGAAGGACTTTACCAATAAAATTGTAGTAAATACTGCTCTAGGTGGGTCCACGCTTGCCTACACTAATCAATGCGTGCACATCAAGCTGTTTGATAGTAATCATTTCCCACTAACCAGCGCTGACTCAGTCAGTTAGTGCTGGTTAGCGTGAAACACACAAGAGGTTTGTCAGCTTTCCAGCAATGGTAACTTTCCGGACAGCTGTTAAATAGCTTACTTCACAAAACTCACTAAACCAATGAAAACATAAACCAATTTTACTTGCATATTGTAGCAACAAGGCCCACTATTCTTTTGGCTACAAGCTAAACTCCAGGCAGATATAAAAAGTTATGTATTGACTAAAAAAATATGAAAAACACATTTAAATGCAACTAGCGAAAGTAACTGCATCCGACTTGGAATATTCTCTTGTAATCCGTTTTAAAAGCAGGATTGGGAGAGGGAAGGGGCAGGAGCCAGTCAGGTGCACATGTGCTGAAAAGAAGACTCACGAGAAGAGACGGCAGAATGAGCAAATGGTTTAGCTTACTCTTCTGATCCTTGTATAATTGAAGGGTGGGGCAGGGTGAAGACCTAGCTTTATTGCTTAAAGTGACACTAAACTCAGGAGTTAAAACGTAAAAAAGCATTCATGTACCTAAACTGTAAACAAAAATGTATCTTATTTGTGTATCACTCAGCTATAGTTCCTCAAATCATCTCTGATTTAATGCTGACACTGTCCTTCCTTCTGGAGGGTGGCTACTTTGTTCTCCATTGTCCCTGTGTGTGTTATAAAGTAACCACCGCCAAAAGCTCACTCCCTTGATGGACTACAATCTCACATTCAGTTTACTCATTTGGATTGAGATTGTAATCCATCCAAGGAGTGAGCATAGAGCGGTGGCTACTTTACAACACACACATGGACCATGGGTAACAAAAGTAGCCACCCTCCAGGAGGAAGGACAGTGTCGGCACCAATTCAGAGATGATTTGAGGATCTACAGCTGAGTAATACACAAATAAGGTCCCAGTATTGTTACAGGTTAAGGTACTTGAATGTATTTTTAAGATTTAACTCCTGAGTTTAGTGTCACTTTAAATGAAGTAAGGAAACGTCAGGTCACCAACTTGGTTGTACTCTCTGGCAGGGCTGTGTTAATTTCAGGACTAGGTGGAACGAAATACAAATCCATTGGCAGGTAAAACAGCTCACAGAGTATTTAACCTCTTAGGGCTTGTTCACACCAAATCTGGATGAGTTTCTACATATGCAGTGTAGTTTTGACACGTTTTTGATGCGTTCCGGTTCATTTTTTATTTTCTTTTTGTAACCTACAATGGGCTTTCAGGTGTAGTCCAGTGCATTCTAGAGCATTTGCATGCGGTGTTGATGCATTTGCATGCATTTTGGTGCATTCCAGAGCTGAAAAAATAGGGCCTGCTGCAGTTTTTCCACATGCACTGGAATTGAACGTTGTGGTGTGAACTAGAGCCCAAAATACCATTGGAATACATTGAATGCATTTTTTATGCTTTTTTCCAACTGCTCTGCATCTGCTCCGCACTTGGTGTGAACAAGTCCTTATTAGGAGTTAATCTCAGTAAAACTGAAGTGTCTTAAAAGGAGAACTATGAGGCAAGTGCTTTTCACTCACCTCATAGTTCTAGCCGACCTGTGACAATGAGACTGTCACAGGTCGGCTCAGTAGATCGGGAAGTGAGCGAACACATACCGGCGTTCGCTCACTACTCGATCCTGTCACAGCTCTCTGCCATGACAGGGGAGGACTGGATTCACCCCTCCCCGCTCCGATCCTCCAGCTTTGACTGGCGGAACGGACGGGGGAGGGGGCGGGTACAGCTGGCTCTGCCTTTAGATAGGCAGAGCCAGCTGTCACTCACGCAGCTGGGCGGATCCAGACATAATTGTCGGGATCTGCTTCAGCTGCGGCGTCTCAGTATACCGCAAGCTGTAGCTCGCGGTATACTGCGGTGTCTCGGTATACCGCAGTATACCGCAAGCTGTAGCTCGCGGTATACTGCGGTGTCTCGGTATACCGCAAGCTGTAGCTTGCGGTATACTGAGCATAGGGTGACGGGAGGACGCTAGTTTGTGTCCTCCCATTACCCTAAGGAGAACTATGGGGAAAAGCCCTAACCCTATAGTTCTCCATTAAAACTACCTCAGCTGCTTCAGTAGATACTGTAAGATATCTTCAATAAAGCAATATCAGAATAGGAGGAAATGTGTCTACCAGCTTTAGAGAGTCCTCAGGTCAGTCGGCAACTACCCTGTCATACCTGTCTTGGTGGGGCTGGAAAAGCCGAACCCTTGAGAAGCCACACTGCCACCAGCACTGAATGTTCCCGTAGCTTTTTCCTCTCCAAATGATGTGCTGCCAAATCCAAAACTCTTTGCCCCACTGTTGCCAAAGAGACTGTTTGAATCTGTGAGAAAGTTATAAAAATGTAAAGAACATAATAGGTTTTGTTCCTTTTTGAAATCTCTTATTTGATGCAAATCAGCAAAATGTCTACAAATTGGATTTTTGTACTCACTGTAAAATCCTTTTGCTGGAGCTCACTGAGAGACACAGGAATTCTTAGAATTCCTAAACTGTCGGGTTATATTGCCGACTACAGGAGAAAATAGGTTATAATGGCGCCTACAGAAGAAATGGACACCGGCAACAAAAAAGTTGTTGGCAGGCAAAAGATAATTCCATCCACAACTGTCCTGCCTCAGCTTTGCAGCAAAGAAGTACTGAGAGCATGAAATGAACACAGAGCTGAGGAACCTGTGTCCCTCAATGAACGTTCAAGAAAAATAGGGATTTTGTTCTTACTGTAAAAATCTTTTTCTCTAAGTCCATTGAGGAACACAGCTCTAAGAAATTGAGACGTAGTGTTATGCTGCTGCCTGTAGGAGAAATCGACACTAGGCAAACAAATGAAAAGCCTGTCACTTTTAGGACAAAGCACCTCCCACCTGCCAGTTATAGCAGGCAATACAAAGGAATTTGAGTGGAGGAAGCTGTGTCCATCAATGGACTCAGAAAAGAGGATTTTACAGTAAGAACAACATCCTATTTTCTCTATTGTCCATTGAGGGACACAGCTATAAAGAATTCTGAGGCATAGGAATGCTCAAAAGTCAACCATACAGAGTGGCGGGCACCACAACAACTAAAGCACTAACTCAACAAAAAAATTAACTGTCAAAGTACACTTAAACAAACTGCCTAACTAGCATTAGAAGAGGCAGAAAAATGAACTTTTTAAAACTTTACAAAAAAGTGTAAACAGAAGACCAAGTTGCGGCCCTGCAATTTTGAGTAATAAAAGCTTGATTTTGAAATGCCCATGAAGTACTAATTGCCCTAGTAGAATGAGAAGAAACAGGAGAAGGGGGTAACGTCCCGCAACCCCTAAGCTTGAATGACAAGCTGACGAATCCACTTAGAAATAGTGGATCTAGAAACTTTACAATCCTTTCTAGAAGAACAAATAAAGAGTCCGAACATCGAAAGGAACCTGTGGCTGAGAGATAAACACTGATAGCCCATACAAGATCCAAAACGACAAAGAGATGTTTCATTAGGATGAACAGGAGCTGGACAAAGATGAAAATCTGAGACTACCTTGGGAAAAAAAGGAAACCTGATAGGGCTCAAAACAACCAAACGGGGATCTTTACAAGACAAAGCAGACAACTCGGAAACCCTTATAGCCAAGATATTGGCATAAAAAAAGCAACCTTTTTGGATATCAAAGACAAAGCAATGTCTCACATAGGTTCTAAAGGAGGTTTAGTAGAACAGTTAAAACCAAGTTCAAGGCCCATGGAGGAAAAGGAGACCTAACCGGAGGAGCTACACAAGTAGCTCCCTGAATAAAGGCAAGAATTAAGGAACTGGAAGTAAGAGGACACTGAAAAAAAGACAGACAAGGCTGATGTTGAAACCTTTATGGTATTTAGAGCTCAACGTTGATCCACCCTTGGTTAAAGGAAAGACACAATTTGCAATATAAGAGAGCACATGTGGAAAAAAAAACCTAAGGACTCACAGCAAAGAAAATAAACCTTCCACATGAGTTTAAAAAAAGAAAGATAAGTGGAAGATATACAAGCCTTAAGCATAATCGGAAACAGAATCTGAAATTCCTTTGTCGTTCAACACTTAGGTTTCAGCAGCCAGGCCATTAAAGCCAGCGACTGAGAAACAGGGTGGAAGATTGGGCTCAGAGATAACAAATCTAGCCGATTTGGAAGAAGCCAGGGATCATCTGCCAACAGATGAACCAAATCGGCATACCACACCTTGCAAGGCCAATCGGAGCGATGAGAATGACTGGGATTCCTTTGTGTACTATCCTGCGAAGCAGTTGAAGTAAGTTGAGTTAGTGGAGGAGGAACATACATTAGTGTGTATTGATCCCACGGACTACTAAAGGCATCCAGTGCATTCGCCGTTGGATCCCTTGCTCTGTACACAAATTTGGCCACCTTTTTGTAACGAGAAGCCAGAAGCTCCACATCTGGCATTGACCAGCAGTGATAACGTTTTTGAAACACCTTTGGATGGAGACCATTTACCTGGATCCAGATATTGTCTGCTGAGAAAGTTCGCCTGCTAGTTTTGTACTCCTGGAATGTGCAACGCTAAAATCCATGAAACCTGAAGTTCCACCCAATCCAAGATCGCATGTACCACCGTCGCCACACTCCTGGTGCCTCCCTGGTGAATGATGTATGCCATTTCTGTAGCACTGTCTGAATCCGAATTGGACAGAAGGAGTCCAGTGAAACGACAAACAATTCGCCCTCAAGTCCAGAACATAAATCAGAAGCTTGGATTCCTCCAGAGACCAATAACCCTGCACTGACAGATGATCCAAAAGACAGCCCCATCACACAAGACTGGCATCTGTCGTGACAATTTTCCAAGTTATGGGAAGAAAACGAATTTCCCATTGTCTATGCAGGCACTAGAGGGGAAACCATGTGCCACAAAACCCCACGCTCCATGTGCTGACACATTTCATCCACATAGGAATTCTTCAGAGCTGAGCATGGCTATTGCAAACCTACACCCACACCTCCCCACGTGGGTAAATATGTCCGCCCACCTCAGCTAAACTGCCAGAAGCCCCGCACATAGAGAGGAAGTACCATCACCCACATCTAATATAATGTCCCATGTCTCACTAAAGATCAAACTAAGACTAAGCATGAAGGTCTGCTCCCACCTCTTCTATATCTGGTGGGGGAGGGGTGCCTGATGGAATTTGTGGAGGTGTGGGAAACTCGTCCTCGGTTCATTGCATTCTGGCTTCCCATGTCTTGGCAGCATCAGATTAACCTTTTTTGCACAGTTGAAGGTCTGTTGGATCCGGGTGTCATTATTCCTTTTCCTTTGGCACAGTGTATGATTCTTCCGATTCTGGATTGAAGGCACTCAATGCATTTGAATATATTCACAAATTTGGAATGGAATCCATTTGGTTGGTTGTTGCCTCACTTGGACGAGGTTTTTTGGTTTCCATAAACATTAAGGATGTTTTTCTACATATTCCGGTATTTGCAGCTGATCATGGTTTCCTTTGTTTTTGCGATAGGTGACCTTCAATATCAATTTGTGGCTCTTCTCTTCGGGTTGGCTTTGGCTCAAAGGGTTTTTGCAAAAGTTCTTGCTCCATTTCTGGGATTTTATTGTCATAAGGGCATTCTAGTTATTGGATACTTAGGCGACCTTTTACTTAGCAAACAGTCTCTTCATACTTTGGAGCTCAATGTCTAGATGGTGATAAGTCCTCTAATGGTGGACATTAGAGGACTTAAGATGGATTCTGAATATCAAGAAGTCTTGCCTAGTTTTGTCAGTATTTGGTTAGCCTTCATGCAAAAGTGTTCCTTCCTCAGAACAAAATATTGATGTTGCGGGTTCAATTTTCATTTGCTTTAATCCTGTCACTATTCCTCTCTGAGAACCTGCTTGAGAATACTAGGATTGATGGTGTCAACCTTCAAAGCGGTACCTTTTGCTCAGTTCCATTCCAGGACTTTACAGAGGAACATTCTTACAGAATGGGACAAGTCACCTCCATCACTGGACAAGATGACCAGATTGAGTGCCCCAGACAAGATGTCTCTATCGTGGTGGTTGACATCCCCTCCATCTGATGGTTATCCTGTTTCAGCCATAAGGTACAGTGTTCCTCCATTTCCAGGAGTTTGACTATCCATGCAAGCGCGGCTGTCTGAGATGGATACGGAGGGGCAGTGAGCTGCCTTTACACTGAGAGGATTGTTGTTCCATATGCGGTTTGACTATCACATTAAACGGCACTTTTCATTTGAACTATGCTCTAGTACGTGTCGTTTGTTACATGTTTTGGACTTGAATGACCACTAGCAGGGGTGTAACTAAATCACGGGGCCCCAAAGCAAAATGTTGTATGGTGACCCCCCCCCTCCCCACGATAAAAAAAATAATTACCTACCTCCAGAACACGTTCCCGTGCCTGCGCAGTCTCCTCTTTAGCCCTGCTCCTTCTTGCCCGGACGTCAGAGCTGAAGAACAGATCACTCCACCGCTTACTGCTGCAAAGCCCATCTTAGACTCGGCACAGCCCACCAGGGACCCTGCAGGGCCCACCTGAAACTCCACACAGTCCAACTGAGAGGGACCCCGCAGAGCACACCGGAGAGCCCACACATAAGAGACCCCGTAGAGCCCATCAGAGACCCTGTATAAACTCTCTATGGTGGGCTCTGCAGTATCTCAGGTGGGCTGGTCGGGGGTCCCTTTCACTGCTCTTACCTGTCAGCCTCGAGCGACCTGTTGCTGGGCCCCGGCTTCCTCCTCCATAGGTGCCGCTGCTGGGCCCTGGCCACCTCCTCCACAACCGGGACCCAGCCTCCTGACCGGGCCCCCATAGGGACCGCTACGGTCACTGGCACGGGAGATTATGCTACTTGGAGAAATCCCTGGCTGGCTGAACTAATATATGAATGATTTTACAACCCCTGATCATGTGAGCATATATAAGGCTCAGTACTTTACTGCTATAGAGGTGCTACAAGCGAGATATTAAGTGGAGCTATCACTCCGTTTTTGGCAACAAATAAATAGTAGTACTTTTGGATATATATCGAAGTACAGTATATGGAACAGCACTGATGTTATTAGTTGCCTCAATTATATCTCTTCACATTAACTGGACGTGGATAGCTACACATGTTATAGGGATTTTATACACTGCCAGTTTTTGAATTACAATAATATCAGTTCTAGGGTGGACCACGAACATGGATTTTATGGGGTTTCTTGGTGTTTTAAGTGGGGAGTATTGATTACATGAAATAAAGATAATGTGGATTTTAATGCATGTGGTGGTATGTTATGATTTAGCTCTATGAAACACTGGAGGTGGGTGATGTATGAGAACCTATTGTCCTATAGCCTTACTAAGATACACACCAGGTGTTTATGTGAACCCAGACTAGAAATTACAGAAGTAGAAATAACAGCAGAATCCTCTCATTTTAAAGAGGAACGCACAGCCTTAATTAAGAAGGTAACCAATTATTTTTGATGCTGGGCAAATCTGTCACAACCCAGCTTCTGCATCAATGATATGACTTAGTGTTTGTGACAAGCATACATTAGGTGCACTGCATTCATGAACTAAATCTATGTGCTATGTTACTTAAAACAGAACTATGGGGTAAGTGTTTTCCCCATAGTTCTTTTTAGGGACACGAGAGGACATATACTAACCTCCTCCTGTGACCAAAAGCTCAGCAATAGGCTGCGATATACCGGGAGCGCTGCATCCGGGACGGATCCTGATAATACAGTTGTGTTCCAGTGACAGCGGGCTCTGCCTATCTAGAGACAGAGCCCGCCCCTCAGCGCTGGAGGATTGGAGAGGGGGGGGGGGGGAATTCCTGCGGGGAGCGGTGACTGTCATTCACCGCTTACTGCAGGGAGACGATCGGGAAGTGAGTGGATCGGTACATGTTTCTGCTCACTTCCCGATCAATAGAGCCGACCTGTGACTGCTTCTTTGTCACAGGTCAGCTCTAACTATGAGAATGAGTGGAATTCACTCACCTCATAGATCTCCTTTAATCAAAGTAGTAAAGAGTGTGCACCCCAGACACCTAGATAAGTGTCACCAATCTGTGGCCGCTGTTTCATTTTCAAGAGCGCTGCTGCTCCTTGCTGAGTGAAAACTACGTTCCCTGTATCCAGAAAAATTTAAAAAAGTTACGCTCCCCCCCACCCCCCCATTTAAACCTGAGCTTAAAGAGGAGAGCTCCTCTCATGGCCAACTTGTGAAATATATAGGGGGAATTGATCAAAACTGGAGCAGACAAAATCTAGAGTAGATTTGCACTGCAGCCAATCAGCTTTTCTGTCTCATTTTTAAATCTTACCGGAGCAAACGAAAGTGAGATGCTGATTGGTTGCCATGGGCAACTGCTCCAGATTCTCTCCGCTTCAGACTTGATAAATTCCCCCATAATGTAAAAAGCATAGGTCACTATAGCAATACCTTAGAGGCTTGATAATGTACAGGCCACTTGTGACTGGATGAACCAGAAACATCAGTAACACCAATATAAAATCACAAATGTCACACGTTTCTGAATTAAGCCAGTAGTAAGAGAGAAGGAACAAATAACATTCACTTTGACACAGTGCCCTGCTAATAACCTGTTCGGACAATTCTGCCTCCGACAGATTTAGACACAATAATATTTATGGCCCTTACCAGTGTGAGGAAAAAATATGGAGGTACCGCAACCGCCTGCTGCAGACAGCACATCAATCAATGGAAGAATAAAAAGAAGAAGGATATCTCTGTTCTCCCTAATAAGCAACATGAAACAGAATAAATAAGAAACAAAAGGAAGCAGAGTCAAAGCCACTGCGTCCACCTTCATCGCCGATAGAAACGCACTATAAAGCACTGAGGAATCCAGAAAAAGGGACTGGACATGCTCACACATGAGCAGCAGATAAAAACAACAAGAGCGCCATCAAATTAAATTCCGGCCTCTTAAAGGGACTGTGGGCAATTTAAATAAAAATCAGTCAAACTCCACATAAAAGCAATGAGCCAAAGAGTCTAAAAGCACAGAGCCCAAGTAAAAATGAAAAAGTAGGGATGTCCCGATACCATTTTTTCCAAGACCAAGTTACGTTCCCTGAGGTACTTGCCGATACCAATTACCGATACTTGTTCTTAAAGGAGAACTACGAGGTGAGTGAATTACACTCGTCCCCATAGTTAGAGCCGACCTGTGACATTGAAACTGTCAAACGTCGGCTCCATTGATCGGGAACACATACCGTAGATGCGCTTACTTCCTGATCCTCTTCCCGAAGGGATTCCCGCCTCCCCCCCAGCGCTGCCTGGAGGAATGGACAGCGGAGGGGGTGGGCACAGCTGGCTCTGCCTCTAGATAGGCAGTGCCTGCTGTCAATCAGCCAACTGGGTGGATCTTGACAGCATCGTCAGGATCCATCCCGGCTGTGGTGCTCTCAGCATATAGCGGGCAATAGCCTGCTATATGCAAAGTTTTGGGTCACGGAGGCAGTATATGTCCTTCTGTGACCCAAAAGAGAACTAAGGGGGGGGGGGGACGTTATCCCATAGTTCTCCTTTAAAAGGGACATGTGACATTTTGTATAAAACAATACAGACCAATGGTTTTAGGGCAGTTTCTTTATAATTAAGAACTGTAACTCAATCCATGATTATTCAGCAATGGAGAATGACAACCAGCAATAGAGGACTACAGATCCCATCAATCTATGGTTTACAGCAATTATACTGGGCTGCGTGCAAGTCTCCACAGGACTGCGTGCAAGTCTCCCCAGTGCAAGTCTCGGATCTCCAGGGCTCTACGGGCGGTGTGGGGCTGTCCAGTGCTGTGCCTGTCTCTGCAGGTTCCGGGAAGGAGGAGAAGGGGATGTGGAACCGCACCGGCGCTGTCAAAGACAGCTACTGTGAAGCCCCCCAACAAGCGTAGGACCTCAGGCAGCCACATTTTGTTTAAAAAATGTAAAGGGCGAGTATCGGCCTTTAGTATTGGGTCATTTTCACAAATACAAGTACTCGTGAAAATGCCCAGTATCTGCTCTGATACCAATACTAGTAGCAGTACATTCCTAATAAAAAGGAGGGAAACCGCCCAACCTGGTGTCCAGTGAGTGAGCCCAACCCCGAGGAAGTCACATGACGAAACGCATCAGTGGGCAGATACACTGACGTCACTCACTACACACTAGGAAGTATAAAGCTTGTGCCAGTAGTATCGGAAGAACGCTTGTACAACCAGCTGGCAGAAACTCTGGGAAGGAGAAAAGAACTTTGTTTAAGCGATCGCATTTTCTGCTTTTGTTTATCGTGTTATGTTTTACTGGATCACGCTATGGCTGTTTTTAATGCTTTATGGGCTTCTGGTGGTTATGAGAGGTGAAGAAGAGGGGTGATATGGGAAGAGCAGGATTCCGATGAATTGATTATGCACTACTATTAACACTTTGAGTGCTGTATGACCATTTTTTCCCTAATGGTATTTGGTGAGTGCCGTCTGTGTTGTTTGCGTCGCACACGGATGGGGAGAGGTGCCATTAGAGAATATTGTGCATACACTGTTATTGTCACTAGATGCACTTATGGACTTTCTTCATTCAGACTGACTGTTTACTGTTATCTTTTATATATTTATTATCTGTTTGATTATCAAGTATTCCTTTTTGGACTATTTTTGGATAAGATGTCATATCATGACTGGGATAGGGAGGAATGCTCTGCAGTCAGATAATGTACCATGGCTGGGATGAGGAAGAATGCTCTGAAGTCCGATAATGTAACTCCTGCCTGGGATGAGGAATGCTCTGCAGATCTCAAGAGCGGAACTGCTGTATCTGGGGGTGCCCCCCCATTTCTGCAACCCCCTGCCCACCCCCCGGAGTTTCACTATCCCCAGAGGGGGCTGCATGGTGCTGCTGTCTGGGTGCCTTTGCTTACTGGTCCCACAGTCAGTGCCGGCGTTTGTATCAGGAGGTAAAAGTTGTGTGGGCCGCCACTGTATACAGGGTCTAAGAGGTACAGAGAAGGCTGCCGCCAGGTCCCTAGCAAGCGCGGGACCTTACGGCAGCCATATCCATGACAACATTTAAAAAAAGGATGTCAGCATTTAGTATCGGGATATTTTCACGAGTACAAGTACTCGTGAAAATGCCCAGTATTGGTATTAGTGCATCCCTAGGAGAATCTCAATGAAGAAACAAAACAAACTAAAATAATAAACCAGAAGTGAAACTGGCAGGTGTGAGGTGGGAGGGATTATGTCCTTAAGTGGCAGGCTTTTAACAGTTTTGCCTAGTGTCCAATTCTCCTGGAGGCACCAGCATAACCGTGTCTCAGACTGTTTCAGAGCTGTGTCCCTCAATCAACGATAGAGAAATTAATTTTGATTTCATTTTATCATTTTATGTGTCAGCCTTTAAAAAGAGTTGCAGAATACTCACTGGTAGAGCCGGGTGACCCAAATCCAGTGGTGGATGATCCAAATGGGTTCTTGTTAGCAGCTTCCTGGCTTGGTTTTCCACCAAGACCACTAAAGAAACCTCCACCACCTGTACTACTGTTGCTTGAGCCAAAAAGCCCCCCGTTGGAGGAAGACGGCTGCAGAGAAAAGGAGACTAATCAATAGAGAGACCTGTTTTATGTAACTCATTAGAAGCATAGTTTAAACTTGGGGGGTGATTGAGCATCCATCAGGTTTCTACTGCCGACCAGAAGACTAGTGGATAAATCCAACAAAGGCATCACTGGCTGGGCCTTTGGAATTACTCCTTACACCATCCTATTGTTTCCTATTGAGAATATGCACATAAACAAAATCACTCACCCTCTAGCTCCCAGGTTCTGAACCTGAGGCCCTTTATATATATAGGGATGCACTGAAATTCTGGCAGAAATTGGTACTAAAGGCAAAATGCTGATGGTACAAAAATGGCCAAAAAGGTAGTGCATTCCTGGCTTCTCTCCTACCCGCTGGGCGCCAGCTACAAGCTTCGATGTGTCCCCTTTGATCCCTGCAGCTCCCTCCCGCCTGTGTCAGCAGAGGCAACGGGAATCAGAGGGGATACAGAACTGATCCAGCTGCCAGCTCCCAGTGGGGAAGAGAAAGCTGTCGGGAGGCTGAGCGGTGCAGGAAGCTCGGGTGGGAGGCGTAGCTTCAGGATTGGTAACTATGTTAATTTACCGATCCTTCACTGTACTGAGCAAACACAGAGTGATCAGTACTGATCACTAGGTGTTTGCAAATAGCTGAGGACACTGTGATTACTAAGCCCCCAGTTATGAATGAACAGGAAGTGCTATAGATCACTTCCTTTTCATTTACGAATGGGGACATAGTAAATATGTATCTGTTTACTTTATGAGTGAACAGGAAGCAGCTCAGTAGAGAGGCTTCCTGTCCATTCATGACTGGGTTGATAGTACTATCTCAAGATTGTGAATGAACAGAAAGCCTCTATAGTGAGAGTTTCCTGTTCACTGCGTGCTGGGGTTGCAGGAAAAAGAGTGAGGACTCTCTGTCCTCAATCTCTTTGAAAAGGGAATTATCATGGGTCTGTTTAGACCTGTGATATTTCCCCTAAGCCCTTAACAGTACAGTAAAAAAAAAACATAAAAATAAAATAATTTAAAAATCATTTTTTTTTAAATGTTAAAATCTTTTGGGAAAAAAGTCCTTTTCGGTTTCGGCCTGACAAATTTTGAAATTCCAGTTTCGGTCTAAAAAATAGGATTTTGGTACTCACCGTAAAATCCTTTTCTCTCCGTTCATTGAAGGACACAGGGAACAGATCGGAGATCATGTACTGTAGGGTAATATCGCCACCTGCAGGAGAAGGACGCTAGGCACAAAAAACTAAAGACCAATTACAGCCTAGGGGCGGCCCCTGCTGGTGGCCAAACCCCCCACCTGCTGACAAGTCTCCAGTTTAGCAACAAGCAGTAAAGGAGTACACACCCACATAGAGGGGCGGGCCCTGTGTCCTTCAATGAACGGAGAGAAAAGGATTTTACGGTGAGTACCAAAATCCTATTTTCTCTCCCGTTCATTGAAGGACACAGGGAACAGATCGGAGATCATGTACTGTAGGGACGTCACAGAGCAGTACCAAAAAAGAGGGGTGGGAACCGCCTCCGTCTTCCTAACCGTGGGATCCCGAAAGGAAGGCGAATCCTCCACCGGGATGACCGTAGCCTTGTTCAGGCGGGAAATCGGCGGATCCACCGGGGGGGGTGAAGACCACTTAGACAGGAAGGACCCCTCAAAAGGATAACGAACCGAGAAGCGTTTGGGGACAGAAAAAGACCTGCTCGGACGCTTCCACTCCTTGTAGACAAAGTCAGCAAAGAAGGGAACGTAAGGGAAAACCTTAGCGGAACGCCTACTCCTGTGTGTTCCAAAAGGAACCGGCGGGAGCGCCGAAGCGCTCGGAGCCTCCTCAATTTTAAGCATTTCCCGCACAGCGCGAACTAAGGCTGCGACCAATTCGCGCTCCTGGACCATAAGGGCAGTCCCCGACTCGTCGCCACTAGCAGACTCCGCCTGGGAGTCCCCAGAAAGGACCGGGGAGGGAGACGGCAAAACGCGCTTCCGTGGAAGGCGCTGCGCCAGCGCACGTTCCATACGGGACATAATCCTGTCCATAATGGAGGAAAAAACCTCCACAGACAACATTGCGCCAGCGGACCCCCCAAAGACCCCGCAGGCACCAGGGGAGACTGTGAAAGGGGTGCAGAACATTTTGTGCATCCCTAATTACTTATGCCACCACTGAGTTCCCTTATTCTTCATATTTTGACAACCCCTGCTCTAGATGATTTCGCCATACTAACAACTTACAGCCTGTGCACCACAGCATCTAAGAAGAAGCTGCATTAGTCATTAGGATGAGCTGTAGTCTCCAAAGGTAGTAAAGAACTGATGAGAATGAACCTTGATATACATCACCCAAAACAGAAAAAAAAACTGTCTCACCCACACTTATTTAACAAAAAGCTTTTTAACAAAGAGAGCAACCCATTTGAACATGGACTCCTCAAAAACAGCTCTGCACTACAAAATAATATAAACAATATATACCTGTCCAAAGGCGGTTGCGTTGCCACTTTGCGATTGGCTAAATACTGATCCAGTGGAACTGGAACCAAATGCTAGAAGGTAAAGTAAAAATAAATGATTGCATTAAAAATGTACTTTTCAAAGTCACTGCAGTAAAACTCTTGAAGAGGGTCAAAGCCACAGACTTTACATTTCAGGTTTCAGAAGGACAAATCAGTAATGCAAATACTGACCTGATGGCTGTCCAAAGCCGAATGCAGAAGATGATGTGGTCGTTGTAGATGAGTCTGCACTGCCAAAAACTGGAGCACTCTGCCCAAATGTGGAGTTTTGGCCAAAAGCTGGTGTGCTGCTCTGTCCAAACAGGCCTCCTCCAGAAGTGGATGCATTGCTGTTGCTTGATGGCTGCGCAAACGAGAATGTACTTGCAGCGCTGGGGTTTGCAGACCCTCCAAACAGGCTGCCACCATTACTAGAGGCAGCTGTTGAAGCAGGAGCCTGTCCAAAGCCTGTCTGTGATCCGAAGGCTGATGGTGCAAAGGAAAAGCTGCTAGCAGAGCTAGCTGGGGCTTTCCAAAGTGATGCCGTTTGACCAAAGGTAGGCTGTCCAAAGCCTCCACCCCCATCTGCTGACCCAAATCCTGGTGCGCCAAAGCCAGAAGTAGTAATCCCAGATGTGGTGGTTGAAGTACTGCTTGGCTGACCAAACAGAGGAGTACCTGTACTGGATGCTGGGGCCTGGCCAAAGATAGGACTAGCTGTTGTTGTTGTTGGAGTAGGCGCAGCTGCTACAGGTGACTGGCCAAAAGAAGAGACTGTTGCAGTAGACCCTGCAGGTGTAGATGTGACCGGTGGACTGGTTGGGCCTGATGTAGAAGCTGATGTTACTAACACTGGAGTCTGAGAAGGGGGTTCTTCAGAGGTGGTGGTTGCAGCAAGAGCCAGATGACTGATCGATGAAGATATGGAAGTAATAGGGACATTGGCGCTCATAGTGGTTTGAAAAATGGAAACGGGCGCAGTTGTCTTACTTTCTGTAACAGGTTGTGATTTAATAACTGTAGGAATAACAGCAGGAATAGTGGGCATTGTTCTTCCAGCTGTTGAAAGGGCAGAAACAGGCTCCTTACTTCTCTCAGTTGTGGCAGCAAGCAATGCTTGCAACTGGGCAGGGAGTGCCACTGGCTCATTCGGTGGTTTTTCAGGTGCTAGTTGCTTGGCATCCCCAGATACAGAGCTGGGTACAGGTGTAGTCAGTGCAGCAGCAACGGTTGTTGTAGGAGTCTGAGGTGATGGAGCTGTGAAACCACCCAACGGCAGAGGCGATGTAACTGGAGCCGAGGACGAAGCTTCGATTCCAGGAGTTGCAGTGGCTGGTGGTGTAAATGAGAAGTTAGGTTTAATCCCACTTGGATTAAACATTCTATCGGCTACCTCAGTATTTGTAAATTTTGCATTGCCAAACAAGGTTGAAGTGCTGCTTGTGGTTGAATCTGGTTCTACAGGTTTTGAAGGCTGAAATCCTCCACCGCCTGTCAAAGGAGAAGCACCAGGCGCTTTTACTGGCTGTAATGATGGGCTGACTTTAGGAGGTTCTGTCTTGAGTACTTCTTCAGCCTGACCTACCCTCAGGCCTGAAAAGCTGCCCAGAGTCTCCCCACCAGGGAAAGTCTGTGCAGCTGCAGTGCCTACACCAGTGGATGGTGATGTAGTAGGTGGAGGAGCTTGGGCAGAGGTTGATCTAGCACTTGTAGAATCTGAATGGCTAGCAGTGGCGATACTACCGGCTGCCTTAGGAGACCCAAAAGCAAAGTTTGATTCGGTTCCCAGGCCAAACTGGAACTTGTTTACATTGTTGTTGATAAACGGGGTTGGCTGGCTAGAGTCCTTTACTGAAACAGCAAAAACAAACAAAAAAAAAGATTGATTAGCATCTGTGAAAATATCTATTTCCATACCAGACAAGGCCTACAGTCTATAGTGATAAAATATCAATTAAATCACCCAGAAAGACTATAAGACTACTACCGCATATATCTAAATATAAATTAGTGTTTGTGAATTGAGCAGTTGCTATACATCAAACAATTTCATAACGAACGGTATAAAAACACACGGACAATGTATTCACACAAAAAAAAGACACTTTATTATCAAAAATACAATGCCTGCTGACATACCACTAGTGGTAGATATAACACCTGGGTACCCTATATGAATATTTGTTATATATTTTGATATATCATATTTGATATATCAAAAGTATCAATAAATATAGTGGTATCCCAAAAAATAGGCAGATGACAAAAATATTCAAACAAAAAGAAAGCACATCAAAGATTTCCCATAGACATCCACTGAACCTACAAGTTCACCAAAGAATCTCAGCAAAAGCCCGAACATAAGAATAGATAATCTGGCTTTTGCAAACTGAATATTCAGTGTCTGTCCATGTGGGAGTTTTTGACGTGCATTATGTATGTTTGAATAATTTTGTCATCTTCCTGGTTTTGGGATACCCCTATATTTATTAAAGTAATATTATGCTCAAACGTTTTTTCCAATAATGAATCCGGATCAACCAAATATACATTGCCCAGCAAAGCATTACTTTACACTTATGCCCAAACACTTAGGCCCCATTCACAATGAGCGACATGAAAATCGCGCGATTTTGAGCGATATTGCGCGACGAGCGATATTGAGCGACTTATCGCGCGACTTTTTCCTATTAGGCTGTATGCAATCAGGAGCGAAATAGCTCGAAAAAAGGGTCAAGTAGGAGCGACAAGCTACCAGCGACGAGCTACAAGCGATATTGAGCGACGAGATGTGAACAGCTCCATTGAAATGGATTGGAGAAGCTACATAGAGCGATATCGCGTGGAAATATGAGCGCTATCGTGTGGAAATATGAGCGATATCGTGTGGAAATATGAGCGATATATATCGCTCAGTGCGAATGGGGCCTTACAATCATCATGTTTCTGAACAGCTGCTTCCAAGTCTCTTAGCTCAGCTTCCCTGAACTTTCTGTCCAGTACAAGATTTAAAAAGGACAGTGCAGATACCAGCAACTGTTCATCTACTAGCTAGAGGGGAGGAGAGGGGGCCAGGGTGGAGGGGAGTAGCTTGATTTGCTCTGTCTGTGGAGACATGCACAGCTTACTAGCACACACAAGGGTAACTGCATAGCACTCTGCTTGAGAAAGGAGTCACTCTAAAACAGGAAGTCAGGACCAGCTGATTCTGCAGGAAACCAATACTTTTAATCCTCAAGAAGCAGCATGCATTGTAAGCTGCATTGTATTTGATAAATGATTGGTTGTGTTCCAAGTAATCTTCAGTGAGCAGCCTTATCCAGAACACTTAAATGTCTCACTGTTATTGACACCTTACCACCACCTGATACCAATATCTCAGTCTTTAATAGTCTCCGTTGTGCAGTACCACCACAAGCTTCCAAATGTGTTTGCCTCCCTGCCCCCTCCCACAGGGCCCTAACTTGGATGCTACTCTTGTATTTTACATTTTGGAGAATACATTAGCCCAGTATATAATGTATACATTTCTTCCTGGCAGGGCAGCTAGGCGGAACTGGAAATTCCAGTGTGGTTATAGTACCACTGGTATCCAAGAAAATGCATTTTATTAGATTAACATTGAAAGATGAGATGAAAACAAAGCCAAACTGGACCTAAAAATGGAAAAAATATTACAAAGGCTATTACTACAGTAATAAAGCATAACATGTTCGAATTACCTTGAGCTGTGCTTCCCAGACTGGATGAAGGGGCAGAGGATGGAGCCCCATTACCCATCATGAACGCACCACTGCAAAGCAGACAGACCACAAATCATCATGGTACCATGGCTAATACAGCATAATGGATATTTTAAAAATGGCAACAAAGAAATATCAAACCCGCCACATGTGCTTATTCTTCATTTGCGCAATATTTAAAGAACGAGTTGCAAGTTAGAGACCTTGTCACCAGACTATTTCAACAAAAATCTTCCTAGTGTATTTGATGTATTATTCACATGTAAAAGCTCCCGTGTAAACAGGCAAAAGCCCTTTAGAGCCTTAGAGCCAAGCAGACTCAGTACTGTTGCTCCACTGTCGCTCTTAAATCGCCCCCCCTTTGCTCCTTCCCCCGCAGCTACAAAATTTTTTTTTTTTTATGTAGGGAGGTGAGAGGAGTGGCGGAGGAGTTGGGCCAGCACAGACAGTAATTAGACACTCCCATAAGAGAGGGCTATGACATCCAAGAAGGGAGGGGTCTGTGCTAGGGAATTGACTCCTCCTGGAGTTTTTTAGGAAGTTTAATGGCAAATTGTAAGTAAATAACAAATACTTTATGGAAACGACAAACACTGCAAGTAAACATTTAAAATACTTGATTTTGTGTGCTTTTACCATCATCTCTAAGTTTTAACATGTTTATAATGGTGCTATGTTTTTTTTAAAACCTGTCATGGGGTAACAACAGCCTTTTATTTGTGTACTTATACAGAAGCAGTGACAAAGTACTGAAACAATAAGGGTTAGAATGAAAACCAGGTCGCTAGCATTTTCAGAAGAGGCCAGCAGTGGCAGAATCCTTCAAAGGAAATGAGGGTCCCCATGTGGCCACTGTACCCATTGAAGTTGATGACAGAGTAACAGTGACCCCATCTGTCAGTTGCAGTCTGCATGTAATCGTACATGGTACAATTATATGAAGTTTGGAATAGATGACTGTTACTGGACGAATCTATCCTGCGGCCAGGGACAATATTTATCTCGAACCACAGGTAATCGTACCATGTAAGATTACATGCGGACTGCTGCTGACAGATGCAGCTGCTGTCACACTGTCATTAACTTCACTGGGTACACGGGATACCTGGTGTTTTTGCCACAGGAATTCCAGAACGAAGCACAAGTTCGTTCTGGAATTTTATCCTAAGGGATAAAATAACAAAGCCTGTTCTTGCTGCAATATTTACCTCCAGTCCAGAGATATCCCCCCACTGAACTTTTCTGCCACTAGATGTTCTAGGTCTGAGGGTCAGCATTATTCAACCCACTTTGTCTAAGCCCAGTCATTCTGGACCCTCCCCAACCTTTGACTGGGCAGTGAACGAAGAAGCAGCACAGTGATGAGCTCACTCTCTAGGACTCTCTCTCTTCCTATCAGCATGCTTCGTGAAAGCAAATGAACCAACTTGCTCCTTATGCTGCATCTTCCTCTCAAGCTTTAGCCTTGCTGTACAGGGACTTCAAGAGGGTGATGCTAGGTAATTTGCCTCTTATATGGAGTACCTGCCTAGACTTCAGCATTAAAGTGATATTGTAGTTAATTTTAATTGTGTAAACTAGCACCTGAATACAAAAAGGTGTTTTTGGTGCGCACACACTACAGATTTGTTATGATGTCAGTAGACAGCCCTTTATAGTGTCCTTACCTCGGTGATGAAAAAGAAAATACTTTGTTACTAGGTAGACCAGAAGACAAGCTAGCTGATGAAGTTGTAGCCTGGGCTTCAGATTTTGAACTGGTTTGTCCTAAAAAAACATAAAGAACCATTTAAAAGTGACCTGAGTGAGCTGAAGGTCAAATGAATGTCAAAGAAAAACTACAAATAACAACTACATGTAAAAAGGACATACCCCTATGCAAAAGTGTTTCTGATTCTGCTATACACTCAGCAGCTCAAAAGATGTGGAGGAGTTTTCTAGTAAATAACAAAGCCGTCCCAATTACAAACCCATTGTGCAGTTACATAGAAAGTAGGAATGCCCCGATACTAGTATTGGTGCCGATATAGAGTATTTGGCCGAGTAATAATGCTCAGATACCGGAACTTCCGGTCAGAGGGAGATCTCCCTCTGACCGCAAGTGCGGAGGGAGCCGGCTTCCTTTCCAAATAGAAAGCCAGGCGGTGGGTTATGACCCACGTCCCTGATTGGCTAGGAAGCTGGCTTCACTTGTTGCTAGGTTACTTGTTCCTAACTAATCAGGAAGCCGGGCAGCACGTAATGACCGGCCTTTCTGCTTCTTGATTGGTCAGGAAGCTAGGCTGGCTAGGAACAAGTGAACCTGGCTTCCTAGCGAATCAGGAAGGTGGGAGGCAGGTCATGACGTGCCATCTGGCATCCTGATTGGCTATGAAGGAAGCTTCACTTGTTCCTAGGCAGCCTAGCTTCCTGACCAATCAGGAAGCTGGACGCACTGCATGATTGGTCAGGAAGCAAGGCAGCCTTGGCAAGTGAAGTAGGTGCTCTTTTGCTAGAACACCGGCTTCACAAGCAATCAGGAAATCCGGCGAAGGTCATGATCCGCCGCACGACTTCCTGATAATCTGTAACTAGTCAAAAAGTCACTCGCACTCCGCTTCAAGTTATAGTCAGTCATCTTTATTGACCATGGTAGTGTCACATTGATAAGCTTAGCAATGTGACACTACCATGGTCAATAAAGAAGACTGACAATAACTTGAAGTGGGGTGCGAGTGACTTTTTGACTAGTTACATCTGATTTGCAGAGGCATCTGCAGTCACTCCGGCACCCGCCTGGCTTTTGTGGGTTTTTCGGTCAGGAGTGCGATGGGATCTACTTTGAATGGAGTTCTCCTGATAATCTGGGCAGACGGCAACGGTACTTGGACAAATCAGTTTAGACTTCACTTGCATCACACTCGTACTAAGTCACTAACGCAAAATGTATTTAAACTAGAGAGAGCCAAGCAGCTAGTATTTTAAGCAGCTGTAGTCCTTGTATTTATTTTCACTCAAAAGAATGATTTCAGTAAAGGAAGATCATGTTGACGGTATTAGTCTGCTTCATGAGTGGGTTTAAAGATGGGGGGGGGGGGGATTTGATCCCTGGTTTTTTTTAAATAAAGTGATTT